ACAAGTCCAGCGAGGATAGCTGGACATGGTTTGCGAGCCGAGCATGAATATAATAGAAGAGCCGGCCTCTATTAACAATGTGTTTACTCACCTGCATCATTATCATTCGACTCTTCGAATCTTGCATCATTGACCAGCTTCAACGACTGCTGCCGTATCAGTACTAAGCCATTCTGCCAACCGAAGAAAGAATTTTGGCTGTCAACCGACTGCGAATAATAGAATGCAAAATCGGTCTATACGATGCATAACCGACTTGCACTACTGTTCAACGAAAGCTACGGCAGTGTTCCAGGACGTGGTGGGTTTTCGCCTGGCAAGCGTTCTCCCTATAAAAAGCCACAAATGTCCGCTTAACAACACTGCAACGTGGCGGATGTGACTCGCCACAAAATAAGGTCACAGCTAAGCATTTCACACTGACGCAGTCCTCAGCCTTCTACATCGAACCTGTGCAACTAATTCTGCTATGAAGAATGCTTTGTTGGAGCACAGATCATCTCTATCTCGTAATGGTTATTGGTTGCAAAAAGCCTTGTTTAGGCTCCTGTGCTCACGGATCACTACCTGGCGAAATTACCCCCAACTTGTGTTATGACGGATTTTTGCGCGCCACAGCGCCATAATGTCCCTGGGTCTGACTATTACCTGACAGTATGCTCACTCATACGGACAACATCTTTTCTTTTATAACTTTCATTAAAACGAAAGGTTTTAACATTCCACAGAAGCTATGCTTGTATGCATATTTGATCACGCCTTTACAGGTGTGTCTCGTTTTACCGAGAATATACTATTTATTTATTTATTTATGTAAGCTACCAGCCAGCTATTAGGAAAAAGGAAAATTTATTATGTTTTACTTTACGAAATGAGATCGTAGTTGGAGGGGAGGCTAAAATGGATGGGGAGGGACAAAGAAACTCACAGCACGAACGCCACTGAGCTCGGCTCCTTGCCATGTCAGCAAGTGTATCCAGCCAAACGTGTTCATTGTCTTTCGGACCCCAACCAGGGAGCTGTGACACTCCAACCGAGGCCAGCACAGAAGTGAAGGCGTTCGTTCCTCACGACCAAGTCATCGCTTGGCCACCCTTCCTCTTCTTCCATCCACATCCCCGGTGAGCAAACAACGCACGTCGCGGGAGTCGGTGGGCTGGCATGCGTAACAAGTGGCCGAGCCAACGGAGCCTGGTGCGTGAAATGACGGCGCTGAGCGGTTCAGTTCCTTTTCCTGTGCCATAAACAAGGCGTCGAACACGCTCGTTACTCACGCGGTGTTCCCACCAGATGTGAGCCCAACTGCGAAGGCACCGGTGGTCGAACGTAACTGACCTCTTCATGTCTGCTGATCTTTGGGGCCAGGTTTCGCAACCGTACAGTAGGGTCGAACGTACCACTGCATTGTACACCCTACCCTTCAGGGCGGGAGTAATGTCGCGCCGCCGCCATAGGTGGCGAAGGTTAGCAAAAGCAATTCGAGATTTTGCTATACGGTTCATGATCTCGTCTTCGATCCCATGGGGGCTGATACAACCTCCCGGGTAGTTGAATTTCCCAACGACTTCTAGCTGATCACCACCAAGGGTCAGCGTAGGAGGCGGTCCAGACCAATCTTGGAGGAACGCTTTGCATTTCGATAATGCAAAGCAAAGCCCGAAGCGGTTGACAGCCAGTGCTAATCTGTCCAGCGCGGCTTGCCACGTCTGGGTGTTGTCACAGATGACAGCAATGTCGTCAGCATACTCCAAGTCAAGAAGTCGTTCTCATGGGAGTAGCTCCACACCTTCCAAGTCATGTCTTGTAAATGCAATCTCCATGACTTCGTCAATAGCGAAGACGAAAAGCAAAGGTGATGGCGGGCATCCTTGTTTCACACAGATGGATATAGTAAAGGGCAACGACAGCTTGCCGTAAGCCCTCACTCTGCCCGTGCTACGCGCGTATAATGCTTGGATAATATTTACATATTTCTCGGGCACGCCTTTCCTGTGTAGACGGTTCCAAAGGGCACATCGATCAACCGAGTCGAATGCACCTTTGCTGTCCAGGAACATGACAACGGCGGGCTGGCAATATGTGTGACGGTGCTCGAACAACTGACGCAAGGTGAAGACGTGGTCGATGCAGCCACGACCCCGACGAAACCCTGCTTGCTCCTCACGAATCTGGCTTTTACGGGCGCCAGTCAGTCTGTGAAGGATTATGGAGGCCAGTAATTTAAAGGCGATGGAGATCAGACTGCTGCCTCTATGGTTGCCTTATTCCGAACGCAAGCCTCCTTTGAAGATAGGAACAATAACGGAGCGGCTCCAGTCGGTTGGGATAGTCTCCTGCCCCCACAGTTTCAGTAGTACTTCATGTAAAGCAGCAACAAGAGCAGAGCCACCGAATTTGAAGAGGGCTGGAGGAAGATCCTTTGGTCCCGCGGCTTGGTTCAACGTCAAAAGTCCGACCTCAGGTTCGACTTCTGAGCGAGAGGGTGGATCCAAAGGGACAGCGCACGGAGCAGGGCGATCACTGACCGGAGAAGAAGCGAACGATTCTAGCCGATTAAATTGCTTTTCATAATGCTCAGCCCAACGCTCCAAACGTTTTGACAAATTGTGGATAGGCTGTCCACTCTCATCACAAATTGTTTCACTAACACCAGGTCTCTTGCTGCCCGTTTCCTGTATCAGGCGGAATAACTTACGATGGTTGCCAATGGCAGCAGCCACTTCCATCTCTGATGCACGGTGAGACCACCGAGATTCGCGGTCTCTCTTTAGGCTATCACGAAAGCTTGCCCGGAGCTCCTTGCGATTTTCATTGTGTTTGATTCCAGCCGGGATATGCCGGCAAGCATCGATAAGTTACAGAGACCGAGAAGAGACCCAATAACCATGTTGGCTATTAGACATACCACATGAGGATTTGCCTGCTGCTAGTAAGGTCTGGTGAACATGTGACCAGTGATCCTCAACTGTCCCCATTGAGCGTTTACTCAACTCGCATGTCAGCGTACTTCGATACGCATTCAGGACAGCTGGCTTTGTCAGTTGGCTGGTGTCAATGCGCTCACAGCGTCGTCGTGGGCGTCCGCCAAAGCGCATCCGCAGATCAGGACATACTAGTGCATGATCGGTGTCCACACCTGTGCTCCAAATCGAGCGACAGTTCTGGACACAGCCACTCCAGCGGTAACTGATAGCAATGTGATCGATCTGCGTCCAAGGCTGGTGGGCGCCAAGTCACCCTCCGGCTGGTGCTGTGTCGGAATTTATTGCTCGCGAGAAATATGCGAGCACGTTCACACAAATGGTCGGCCGGTGGCCGAGTGGTCTGTGTAACGTCCATTTTGTCAACAGCCATTTTGTCAACAGCGGTTGTTCTGACAATTTCCCAACGCGCTGGGTCATTTTGCTGACTGGACGACCGTACTGATGTCCTGTTCTTGTAACCGCACAGCCGTCAAGATTAGCTGCTCAGGGAAAACTAGGAACTTCTCCCTTTACACAGTATCAGAGAAGGCCAATGGATCGGCTTGTCTAGTTTTTTGCGGCGAACACAGTATAGCATCGTGTGAGAAATTCTTAGCTGTGGTTGTCCCGGCTCGTTGGGAAATTGTCAGAACAACCGGTGGATGCTACAACTGTCTAGGGTTGGGTCACCGAGCTTCAAGCTGTCGCAGCAATAAAGGATGCAGCCTGTCTACGTGTAAGGGGTGGCATCACTCGTTGTTACATCGCGACAGAGCCCCTGTTACTCCCCAGGATTACTCAAATACTTGTAATGCGGCCGCTACCTCTCCCAACAGGGTCTCTCTGGGCGTGGTACCAGTGCGTTTAGATGGCCCGTTAAGGTCAATTAACACTTATGCTTTGTTAGACACTGGTTCGGATGTGACGCTAGTGCAGGAGGACCTTTTGCAGGAGGCGGGCGTAAACGTTGACCCTACATCTTTGACGATGCAGACAATAAGTGGTATTACATCCTTGCAAGCAGGTGTGGCCAATTTCCGCTTGTCGGCGTTGAGAAGTGCAGACTACGTCACAGTTGAACGTGCCTACTGCTTGAAGCGCTTGCCATTACGATCAGTGGGAAACGCTTGTGGTCAGCTGGCAAAGCACTGGCCACACTTATCGGACATCCACTTTGATGATCTGACGGATAACAGAGTCCGAGTATTGATAGGTGCAGATGTACCCGAAGCACATTGGCAAATTGAACGCCGTACTTGTGGTAGGAAACACCCGTTTGCCGCGAAAACCCTACTCGGCTGGATATTGTTGGGGCCTGTGAACATGAGTGGTCAGCATTGCGCTTCCGTAAACTGTGTGCAAGTGGATGATCATTCGCTAGAAGCACAACTTAAAATGTTGTATGATGGTGGGTTCGAAGGTGTCGGCTCCAGCGCCCTCTCCCTCTCCATAGAGGATAAGACAGCACTGTCCATCGCTGAAAATTCTATACGACTAGTGAAGGGACACTTCGAAATAGCTCTACCTTGGAGAAATCGACAAGCAGTTGTTCCAAATAATTATGGGTCAGCTCTTCACAGATTGCACTGTTTGAGTCGACGACTACTAAACAATCCAACATTGCGCGAAAGGTACACGGCGGCATTGGAAATAAGCAGGACTAAAGGATACGCAGTTTTGGTGCCACCTGCGCACTTACAACCAGGCTATGCACCAAAATGGTATTTACCGCACCACGCAGTGATTAATCCAAAGAAGCCGGACAAACTTAGAGTGGTGTTTGATTGCGCCGCAAGGCACAAAGGGCTTTCCCTAAACGATCAACTATTTCAAGGACCAGACACTACCGCGGATCTAATTGGAGTCCTACTGCGTTTTAGGGTTGAGATGGTAGCGGTTTCTGCAGACATTGAAGATATGTTTATGCAGGTGAAGGTGCCCATGAGTGACAGAGGTGCGCTACGCTTCCTTTGGTGGAAGGATGACGAGATTGGCTCGGAAGTGATCGAGTATCAAATGACGGCACATCCATTTGGAGCCAGGAGACAAGAGAAGCGCTATGGATGCCTATTTACATGTATGCAAGCACGAGCCGTACACATCGAACTCTCACCTACATTGAGTACTGACTCTTTTATCATGGCCCTGAAACGATTTGTTGCCCGCAGAGGGACCCCGGCCGAAATATTCAGTGATAATGGGGGCAATTTTGTGGGTGCTGCTACTGAGTTGCGTACTGCCATGAAGAGCTGGTCACAAGCAAAGATCAATGATAAGCTACTGAGTATAGGAGTGCAGTGGCACTACAACCCACCGATGGCCAGTCACAGAGGTGGTATTTGGGAACGCATCATTAGGTCTGTTAGGCGGATCCTGTTATCTGTCGCAGGGCAGCAGACGTTGGATGACGAGACACTGAACACTCTCCTTATTGAAGCGGAGCGCATCGTCAACAGTAGACCACTTGTACCGCTAACTTCGGACCCCAACGACCGCGAGGCACTTACACCTAACGATTTGCTGATATTGCGATCCAACGCAACGCATATATTAACGGCCCTGCCTGAAGAATATAACCGCTGTTGGCGACAGGTGAATTACCTAACTGCGTTGTTCTGGAAAAGATGGGTCAGAGAGTATTTGCCGTTGTTGCAATCGAGACAAAAGTGGTTACACAGCAGTCGAAATTTTAGACCAGGTGACGTGGTTTTGGTCTCTTCTGAAGCGAGCTCGCGTGGAACATGGCCATTGGGAGTTATTGAGAGCTGCACTGATTCTGGAGATGGGCTCGTCAGGACGGCTGTTGTCAGAACAAAGGAAGGGTTGTACAAAAGAGACGTGCGTAAGCTCTGTTTGTTAGAAGGAAGTGACACGGGTGGGAATGTAGTTCCGGCTGTTGGCTCTCCGCAGGTGGGAGGCGGGTCTTCGGATCTGCTGCTCCAGGGAGGACCACTGTGAGTCCAACAGCCGAAGTGGGAGGGATCAGGCGTACCGTTGTAAGTCCTGTGACCTCCCATAGCGGATGGAGTTGGCGTAGGGCGATCCAGAACAGAACGTGTCGTCCTCAACCACTGGAAAATCCGGGACAGATTTTCGCGGGGGAGTGTAACGTCCATTTTGTCAACAGCCATCACCCTTCGCCTGGACCCACATTATTGCCCTAATTCCCCTTGAATTCACTCTGTTTGAACGTTCCACGTATACCGCCCTGCATGACCCTTAGTCGTTTGTTTTCCATGCCCACCTTACATTGGTGACACCACCTGTCTCGCTACTTTCGTTGATGCATGCTCCACTTTATCGATCACTGCTTCGCACTTGTTCCATTTGCGTGTTACTATTGAGGTCAGGGTAGACCGGAGATTTTGTGGGGTGGACACACCACCCATCCGGCTGACATGTGCCCCTAACCTCAGGTCTTCATAATGTGTCCCCCATTGAACCTGCTTGATGTGATTGGACTAGTGGCTGTTGGTTTCTTGATTGGCTCACTGGTGCATGTCTCGCATGTCATGTAACCGCGCTGGGTCATTTTGCTGACTGGACGACCGTATTGATGTCCTGTTCTTGTAACGGCCAACTGATTGTACTTGTCTTTGTTTGAGGACATTGTTGAAGTATGTTGTCACTTTGATCTTTTACTCTTTGTATAATAGCACCGTAGTTCAGCATCGACTGTGGCTTTTTTGTTTCTCCGGTGCCTACACACCAACTCCGATCCTTGTCGCTCATTGATCCCCTGTCGGAGGCCGCGAATCGGTGCCCTACGCGTTGTCCAACTATCCTAAGCGATTTTTGAAGCTTACAGTTTGCACATTTGCTTTGCAACCGGAAGGTCACCGGGTTGAATCCGCGTATGGGTGGGGGTTCCGGCGGTATACTCAGCCCTCGCGCGACTGATACTGGTCGAGCGGCAGCGAAGCGCCGTTACGGAGTGCAGCTGACATATTATTATTTATTACTTACACAAATGAAGTAGCCGCTCCCTGTTATCATTACGGGAGCCTACACCGTGCTGACCGCCCAAATGCACTTCTGCAGTGGACAACTTTCCAGCTTGCGCGTTCTAATCCCCAGCCAGCACAACGGTGTCCGTGCTTCTTCTACGGCGAAGGAGCTGAGTCATTTGGCGGTGAAAGTCGTTCTTCACCGAATCATCGCTACAGTTTGTGGGTGCGAAGGCAGCGATGATGAACTGACACCTGTTAGTCCCGCGTGACTTCGAAGCTTTGAACGAGCCAGTCAATCGGACCGCACACATCCGGCTAATGATTGCAATCCAATCAACCAGAGCAGCTTCAGCCAGGGGACTCATGACAATGCCAAAACCGGCTAGGCTGGTGCTCCAAGCTGCATTGTCACCGGATAGGCGTAATGAGAAAACACTGCTTGCGTCAACTGAAGGGATAGCAGGGTGAGCACAGTGCTCGAGTCTTGCAGGTGGGTCTCCGATAATCAGCAAATATCGATCGAGCGGGTCTCCAATATTCTGGCAATTGCTGCCTGTTGACCGAGCTGTTGTAATGTGCGCACATTGATGCATGCGAATCTGAACGAGGATCGAGGGCTCCAAATGCAAGCCGATGAACTGGGCTTGACTGCTTGATTGGATATGGGCTTGTCAACAGGAGAGGAGACAGGCTCCGCGTTCACATGTTAGTTAAGGTTAGAAGGTAAACGCCTATCAAAGCATGTTGGGGGCTGAGAATTGGGCGCTGAAAACTGGGTGGATAAAAGTGAAGTTGGAACGGGATGGTAAGAGTGAAAATGCGTAAGGGGGAATAAGAAGACGGGAATGCTTGAGCAGTAGCATCCAAACCCATATCCACCCTGCCCGATGCAGCAGCTAGGGCACCGTTGATTATCCTCTGCGGTGGCCAGAGCATCAAGAAATTGTTTGAGGAACGATGCATTGTATTGCGTGGGCAAGATAATGTCAGGTTGCCCAAGCCTAGACAGGAGAACGGTTAGGGTTCTCAACCAAAGCCTTTGGTTCAAAACCTTACCGCAAGGTAGCGGGTTTGGCGTTGGGCTACAAGGAGTCCGTTTTAAGGAATAAGATGCCACCCTCATTCCAACCCCCCAACCTGGCGGGCCAGGAGGCTGAGTTTGTCTGGCCTCTTACCATTGACCAATCTGGTATGAGTGACTCTGAAGGTGCAAAAATACACCACCCAGCATAGCTCAATGGATCGCTGAGACACACGAACCACCGCACCATCCAAGGACCTTGCGTTGAAAGCTGACCTCAAGCACTGGTCATCATCTTCCCGGATATGAAAAATATCATTCAACCGGGTTCCACATAACGGTTTGTTGACAAAATAAGCTGCATTCGGGGGTTCTGGCCACCTCCTTTCTTGATTTTCTTCTTACCCTTTTAACCGAACGCAGTCAGTGCTACTGGGCGATGTCTCGTCTAAAAAGCGTATGTAACCAGCGGAGTGTTCCAAGGCAGCGTCATAAGTCCTTTGCTGTTTTTTGCTGTGCATCTATGATGTATCCAGGTCTTCCAACAAGGCACTCCCCTACCTCTTTGCTGATGATATAAAAGTGGTGTTCTCATTTGATCCTAGCTGCCTACGCAATGGCCTCTCCAGCATTCAAAGCAATCTCGGCGTTCTTAAAACATGGTGTAACCTGTGGAAACTAGAGTTCTCACCAACGAAACGCAACGTCGTTTTCTACTGGTGCTCTATACTGCCCAATATAGTAGCTCGAAATGGAATACCACTAGATAGCAGCATTACCATGCGCGATCTCAGTGTGCACCACTCAAGCTCACTGCATTTTGCAAAACAAGCGAGCTATAGCTCTGCAAATGCCAGGTCTATCGTTGGCTATTTACTAAAGTCAATGAGCCTGTTAGAATCGCGGCTCATGCTCTACAAGTTGTGTGCCCGACCTTTAGTAGAGTACTGCTCGATAGTGATTACTAATTCACGCAGAAGTTATAGGATGATCCTTGAGAAAGTCCAGCGTTCACTATATTGTGACGGCACCAGTCATTGTTCAGAGTACTGAACACTCTGTTCCCTCTCACTCGCTGCCTGTCCCCATCTTATCAGTAACTCAGCGTTGTGTGCTGACCTAGTTTCCTCTGATCGGTCTCCTACTTTCTGACAGTCTACAGAATACTGAGCTGTAAATAGTATAGGCTCGGCACAACCAAAACATTATTTTCCTCAACCCGAGGGCTTATACCTAACTAAATTAAACTCTCCCATATCTAACATGTTCATTTTTGCTGACACCCTATTTGTCCTCCCAACTTTACTGTACTACTACATACAATGTGCCGACTAATACGGCCTCGTGTATTTCGGCTCCTGCTTTCTGACCTCTCTGACCACTGTGACGTTATCGGTCAATATTAAACAGACCAAATACCCTGTCCACATTACCTTAGAGAATCTCGTTGGCTTCCCTACTCATAATCAGTAAAGCTTTCTCCACTCTAACCCTGTTCCTTCTTTACTTCGTTGTCTTCATTCCTCCTTCCATCGGAGTGTTTACTCTCAGTACCCTGCCCTGACCGAGTTTCATCTGACCAATCTACTTCCCTCTGACTGCATTCAAAACTACTAAGATGCAAACAGGCTAGACTCTGTTGATTCAATGCTGTGTTCCCCTCACCTCAAGCGCCTGCAAGAATTGCTTAACCTTTATTAACTTATTAACTCCGTGAGCCTCCTAGACTCATTCACCCTTTATTGTTATAACTCACTTCTCATCTTTATTGTACGTTCCCTAATTGTAACACGCAACTAATCCAGTCTTGCCAGGTCGGCCTCCTGTCCTCCGGATTCATGCAGACTTCCGAGACGTTGCCTCCCTTGGTTCGGTTGACCTAATTCAAATTCCCTCGGAAGCCTCGTTAACTTTAACACTCTTAATGGATAAAACCGTTCTCATCCCAACCCTGCCCTATCCTTGTCGCATTGCCTGCTTGCATTTCTGTAACTAGACAGTCAACTCTGTACCTTGCCTTAATCTAATCTCACCTGACTAGTCTCTTGAATTCTGACTACATCCATATACCGAGACTTAAATGATCTAGACCCTACATAACCCTCACCCCGAGAACTTTGCTGGATTAGCTTACTCTCTATTAGTATAGCGCCTTTTAATCAGTAAACTGTCGTTTCTGCCCTTTTCATTTCCGTAATGCGCTCTCTGTCTTCATTGTACGCCGATTAGGCAAGTATGGCCTGAAGGATCTTTTACTCTCCGAACTCTCACAGATTAGTGTTACGTTAACGGTCAATGTTTGGTTGAAGGATCGCTACGTGTGCATCCTCAGTTTCTTCACCTTTTAGCTTGACGCAGTACTTTTATTATCGCGATTGTATTCCTTCCTTGCTCAACCGGACTGCCACCTCTCAGTGCACTGGCCCTAGTACAGCTCTCTCACGGGCTTCTCCCGGCTCAGGCCTCCTTAATTATACTCCATTAGCACCACCGCATGATTTGCTTAGCTGCACGTCGATGCGTCGTAGTCTATTATGCTCTAACTATCTAACAACCTCTTTGTATGCTTGCGCTTTGCTTGTCTGCTGCCATTCTATCACGAAACCTCTCCTAGCTTTCTTCTGTCGTGCAAACATATCCAGGTATTCAGCATAAGCCGCTCTTCTGCCACATATTTCTAGACCTTTATCTACCCACTACTTGCTGTATTGTCTTAGGCATTTTTTACCTGCAGTACTCCAAGTCTCGGGCTAGCAGTCCATGCCTTTATCCAGCTTGGCACTATTACCCTAGCACTCTGGCTGCTGCGGTTAGGTCTCAGGTTCTGATGTCCACAGCAACCTGAATGTACGCATATATTCTGGCTATTCGCGGTCCTTCCGTCAATTAGCCCTTCTTAGCTTTTTAATTCGGCACTCTCTCACCTGGTCAGTACAGAGACGCCCTTAGCTTCTCATTTACAGGTGTTCATTCCTCAATTATTCGCTGCTATTTTTGCGAAACACCCATGTATGAGTCCAAAAGACACACTGGCTTTCCCTGGGTCAGCA